GTAATGGCGATGACCCTTGTAAGCACTCTGCAGACTGACATGGGCACACGAATCGCAACCTGTGTGGTGGGTTATGTCCAGCAGCTATTAGTTTCTAGTTGGCGCGTAATCCAGGTTCAAGTCGATATGCTTTGGCGGCTCATGAACTATGTAATGCTCCGTCGGCGGCTCTCGCGATTCACTGAACAACAACCTTGTCCGTTCCGTTAGCAAGAAAGACCATGCCATTTGCTGTTTTAGTTCAAGCGTTGAGTGGGCGGGTCGGGTTTCGCTCGCTCCCACGATCTTTGCGCGAGGCTGCCAGCCGGCAAAAATCGCTTAATAGTACCACTTCAGCTTAGTGTTATGGGAAATGAACTGCAACGTCCCGCATGCTATGGAGCTGTCCCTTGAGCGCTTGTAGAACACGTTGAAACTGAAGCGGTGAAAACCCAGCCGGATGTGTGTGAATAAATGACATTGTTTGCTCAATGGGGGCGTAAGTCGCAATATAGCCGGTAATCTTGAGGAATGCAAAACTCGATTCGGCAGGCTCCACGCTTCGGCACGTGTTTGAGTTGGAGGCCGTCAAGCTCTTGGGTCGCATCGGCTGATGAGCGCGTCTAGGGTGTCCAGAGACAGAAATCAAGCGAGATGACTTGACTTGCAGCTGTGGCCCCTCTCCACGATGCTGGTGTTTGTTGACAGGTGGCGGGTTATGAGCTCGATGCTCAATAGTCGTAGGGCTAGACAATCAACGTCGTCCGACAAAGACCTGTGCGCTGCGACATGACCAATCCAAGGCTCTCTGCAACGACGAGAGGGCCAATGATCACCGTTGACCCGTCCGGAAAGGTTCAAAGCGCGATGGTTTAGTGGGGGATGTTGAGAAATGAAAGGCACGTGCCAGCCGTCCGAGTTAGTCTCGTCACAACCACGCCCTGGTTGTTGTCCAAAGTCTAGGGAGGACTGCCTCGCGTGGAGCATCTTTGGTGGGTCAGGGTGAGACAGGAAGGTCGAGAGCTGTTTGCCGCGACCCGCAGATGGCGCGATTCAGGCGGCTGCTGTGGCTAGGCTGGCTCTCCTCCCGTGAGGTCAGGAAAGACACCGAAGTCATCCCGGCGGTACTTTCCACAGATCTACAATGAAAGGCTTTCCGCTTTGAGCATCTGGAGATGGTGCACACTATCAGATCATGATGATTGTGTCGCTGTCGCGCTCGCCGAAATGACGTACGAGAGCCATGCCGCGTTGGATTGTCGGCGTCCCCGCAAACAGGTCGCTGGGAAGAGGAGGCATATATCAGACGGCAGGACAATTCCAGTAGGATCCCTCAGGCTGCAGATAATGCCCGTCGCAACGGGCATGGCTTGATCTCAGGATGCAATCACGGCGAGGCACGTGCGGGCCCCACTTCTGTCGCGAAAGCTATCTGATTCGGCTGGGTAGTTGATCCTTCATCGACCTACACCCACCCACTGCCGCTTACTTGGTCTGCATCGGTCAATATTGCGATATGCAACACGCGCATCCGGGCAGCATCCTCTATGTCGACCATCAACACATGCCCTACCTCATCATGCGCCAAACCATCACAGCCTCACCGCCATCGCACGGCTGTACATATCTATCTTTCACATCTCGTGCGGGGGGGGCAGTCACACCAAGCGTGTACCCGAACAAGCCTAGTGCTGTTCCTTCCCGTTACTAAAGTTAGCTCCTCCTACATGTCTAGCCTTCCGGCTAATTCTCCATGAGGCTGAACCAACAAAGTCTGCCTCGCCAAAAACTGTCATCACCACCCAGCTCATCATCGCGACATCTGCATCGCTCGTTGCAATGACGGCACCACGTATACTAGCAATCAACTTTCCATCCCCGATAGAGCCGTGCATGTACCGGAACAAGGCCTGCAGGCAGCCGCATGCTATTGCAACTTGTTTTGCTCTTGCACGTGCCTGGCTCCGCCATGCCCAGAATACCGTGCATCCACATGTCCCCTCGAGCCTGCTGCCGTCTCTGGCAGCTGTCCCTCGTCCCGCGATACCGGCACTTACGGAGTTGTACATCGTGGACTCTTGCCCTTTGGTCATCCGCCGATTGGATGAATAATGTAGAATGGGTAAGCCGTAGCCGATGCAAGTCCCCCAACCGCGAAACCTGTAAGCGCCGCCGAGCAAGCCACCGCTCTCTCCTTCTCTCTCTCTCGTTACACCATCACGCCTCTTGCTTGGAATTTGGAGCCTTGCGCAGACTACGTAGCTCAGCCCTATGTGAAGCTCCTAAATCGAGGTATTGGCTGTGGCAATGCTTTACTTTTTACAATCTCTTTTCAGTTGCATGCTCAGCTCACTAACCTCCACTCGGGTTACCATGTATTTGGAGTGCGTTGCACCGCTACTACTTGCTACGCTGCCGCCTGACTACTGCAGCTTACCTCTTTTCAATTTGCCTGAAGATGCTTCCGAGCCAATATACTGTGTTCGCCTGTCGCGACAGCCACTTTGGCCAGCTATTGGGTTGGGAACCAACTCAACTACACTATCGATGTTAGAAATCTTACCAATCGCAGTGGCAAGAGCCGGCGCTTAGATGTGCGTTCGGCCGAACTGATGGCCGACATGATAAACTGAAACTCTTAAATGCACTACCAGCGGTCGCAGATCTGGTCGTTGAGTAGCGCATGTCAATGTAACGACAATACGACCACGTACGAGTGTATGCTACATAGTCGGACAGTGACGAAGACTGACGTGTCGGTCTATCGGCTACATCTACGGCCAGGAGGAACAATAGGCCTTCTAAACGATGAAGCCTCTGGGTTGAGTTCGCATATGTCTCTGAACGGCGTTATGGCTACTTGTCACATAGTAAGACATTTTGATACTCCGACGTATCATCATCGGAGGCATCAGTAATGGTCATCACATGGTAGGAACATTGAAGCATAAGCGCGCTAATGCACCGCAAGCAATACACCCCCCATTAACACAACGGTCCGAAAGAATTTTCATCACTTTTTCACGAAACCAACACATTATTACTATCGAGCGCCATGAACGTGGTCATTTGCTGGAGGAGATGTTATGAGTATCATGTTGCAAGCATTCGCGTCCTACGGCTGCAGACTCTACGGCATAGTCGTGAACGTACGGCGAAGCATCTGGCCTCCAACCCTATCTCAAGTACGGCGCAGCTATTTGTACTCAATTCTGGGGAACTTGTTCACCATCGTGTTTCAGTGTACGCAGGCCTAACTGTGCCTCTACGGGAACGTCCGCAACGGTGAAGCGCTGCGTTCCGATCCTTCATAAGCTGTGCCCCATGCGAACACGCCGCCACTGCCGCTCTTCGCATTTTGTTCGAAGTGTGCCGCAGTCAGGCCGACAGGTCCTGTCACACAGCTTTGTTCGGAAGTTCGAGCTCCGCTGTGCCGCAACGCCGCAGAAGTACATGACTATAGCAAAGATCGCCAGTGCGATCATTCGTGCTCAAGAACGAGCTCGTTTGTGACAAATTAGACCGAGCAAAAACCTAAACGGACGGCTGTACCCCGCTCTTGATCACGCGGTTCCTTCCCACTGACACGTCGCCTCGATGTTGATCTGAGTAGAAGGTTTTGCTTCATGAACTGGACAAACCCGGTTCGCACGTTTGGATGAAGTTTTCCTCCCAACGATTTGCATGACGAGATGGAAACACGGCCTTGAACTTCCGCCATGTTCATCGAAATTACCAGAGTGCGTGTGGCAGATCTTCTAGACTGATAGTCGGCGAAGTAGCCCTACATGGAATATCCAGCGGTGAAGCTGATCAGATCTGAACATCTCGAACAAAAGGCATCTGGCACCCCATTTCACCCTATATTAGCATAAACTTGATAGTCCTACCACTGCACAGCGATAGTTATACTGATATCTGTATTCGTAATATCCTCTCTTGAAGCTGTAACGCTGGTATGATGGTATCTCTTGCGGGTCTGAGGCTCCGCATGCGGGCAATGCTGCAATGTATAAGCGTTTGACTCGAATTTCCCTATCGTGTAGATACTGATTGCACATTTTGCAGATACTGCTACTGCTGATCCTGTCATTTACTGTGTTTACTATCATTGCGCTTTTCGTCGAGCCCATGTCTCTAACAAGCAATATGACACCTACAAGCTTACTCATGTGGTGCTAAATCCCCGTCAACAATCCTACCACAACCAGTATTTCCACTAATGGCATCACAGCTTTCCTTAATTATATGTAGATCCAACAACACCACCACAGTTTTAACTACGTTCATTCCGTCCTCTAACTCTCGACTCGTCGTCTTCTTTCCACACGGTGATGACTGTGATAACAAAAAGCGCTTCTTAGGCTGTATCTGGGTTGTGATGCTCATCAGAGCCTTTTCATGGATGTGATTTATACTTGGAGCGATCACTTTTGCTGTGCGACTGAGGAATGGGGGTATGCTTTTTATCCAATTTTACAGATGAACTGACGTGTAGGAAGGATCTGTACATGTGTATATTGAGCAATTAAACACTACAGCGTACGATATATCAGCCACCCCATACAGGAGAAAAACAGAACATGTAGAGATAACAAGCTCTAGTTTGCAGCTTACACTAGTTCCTCACAAGAGAGATGATAAAAATTCATACTGTTATAGACTTCTAGATTCGCTATATATGTCTGTATAGCTCTAATACGCTTTGTTGTAGTAGGGAGGAGTACTCTGCTCAATTCAGATATCTAGTTTCTCTCTTTGGCAAAGTGAACTGAGGCGGTAGCGACCCAGCGCTAATTAGATGCCGAAGTTACTTCTATGTCGAGATTTGTGACACCTATCCCGTCTTCCGCTTCGCTATCCCGCACTGGAAAGGTACAGAAACAACAATTCCTACCTTACAGCCTAAACTATCTTCTAATAAAGATACTTACAAGCATAAGTAGAATTGTAGTCTGTCAGGTGTTCTACCTATATCTTCATTGCTCTTAATATGCTCTATTGTAGTACTAATCGAATTCTCATTCATCCGTCATAACCACATCGCCATACCTGTCCTGGAGAGAACGCACTGGTTCTACCTCATCTTGTTCCCCCGAAAATCGCGCACTCTGGAGTTCTTCATCGTCTTTCAGCCGTTTGGGTCTTCGGGGACATATTTTTTGCCGGCAGTTAGGACATAAATTGGAAAACTTGGAAATACCGTTGATCAGGGTACTCAGACAGCCGTAGTGGAAAGTGTGGCCACAATCTATCTTGACCGGGACTTCGTCGCGTACAGTCTCATGAACGTTGAGCGTATCACGGCAAATTGAGCAGTCTTCTTCAGGGAGATCAAGAATATTGGTGACAGCGAAGGCATACTGTTCAGTCTTGATAGTGGGGCCGATAGGTTCGAAGCAGACTTCTGGTAGATCATCTGGATCAAACTCGCCGTCAGACTCGTACTCATCGTCCCATTCCTCGGGTAACCAGGTCCATGTGTCATCTTTCGCAGCGTCGGGTTCCAGGAAGCAATCTAATCGAAGCATGAAGAGCGCTGTTCGTACATGACCGATACACACTGGTCCAAGCGCACCGACAAAGTGCATGAGACCGTCGACGAAGTTCTTGAACATGTCCCAAGGAAGGCCAGTATAAGAGGGTTGGTCTGAGAGTGCCGCAGCATCCCATACTAGCAGCCTGGCTGTACCACGGACATCGCACGATGCAAGTTGCTGACGTAGTGCTAAGGGCGTTATTGTGAAGGGGTCGGAGACCAGAGCGCGATGATGATCCACTAGTTCGTTGAGGTACTGGTTGAGAGTAGGATTACCGCTCGAGAAGGTTCTCATTTCTTGGTGGTGATCAATCATATGCTGGACCAATCTGGCAAATACAGCAACTCCACCCCAGATCGTCTCATAATCATGAGGAATTGTAGTGATTATCCGGGCCATCTCGGGGATAGTGTTGGCGCCCAGCAACTCACGTGCCTTGAACTGAGCTTGGAGATCACCCTGAACATCATGATAGCGCGGCTGAGAGTTTATGATATGCATGATCCAATCCTTGAAGTCGGGTGATAGATCCATGAGCGTGTCGCATACTAATATGACGACGGGCTGTACTCTCAGACCGCGGTAGTTGACTTGCTGATTCCAGAACTCCAGACTGCATTTGGTTGGATCTTGAAGCAGAACAGCGTCAAGAATTGCCACTACTTCAGCCCAAATTGCTTCAAAATCTGGCAAGACTACCTTGACCGTCCCCGTGGGTAGCCCCAGCAACCTGGGCTGCAATTCTGCCCATTCTTTCGTTGCTGACAGCCTGATGATCAAGCGTGATGCATCAGAAGTGGTGGCCTGGTATGATAGATATGAGTCGAGCAAGTCGCAGTAAGAACTCAGAACACTGGTTGTCGCCTCGAAATATCCCCGTAAAGGACGGAGACATGTCTCTAGACGAGTCATGGGTAGGAGTGCCGGGGTAACAGCTACCGTTTCCATCTCCGCCAGGTTCTTGGAGAATCTAGCCCTTCGTCAACTGGAGTGTTAGGGCGAGTGAGCCTTCTAACTGAGCTCAAGATTGGGTTAAGCAAAAGAAAGCCCTTTACAGGCAGCTGACTCAAGTGAGCGTCGCGTGGTAAGAAAAGTCTCTCTTTCACCTTGTGTTGCACCGCTTCGTCAAACGTATAGGCGTTTGCGTAAGGCCTTTCTTCACCAGCAGCGCAAACGTCTCGAAGGTGCCCTCACTCTCACTTGCAAGGCTCTGGTAATGCTACACTTTTGGCATTCTGCTTAGTATCGAAGACGCTTTGCATGCAGCTACCATGACTGTGCATTGAAGAGCGAAGGTGAGCATCAGACCAACGGATTGTATCTGTACTCACTGTAGTCTTGTGCAATAACCTCTTGCTTCTTTCACAGTTCATCAATCAGAGAGACCTATTGTGCTAATATCCAATATACCTCTTCGAATACTTTTTCAAAAAGAGAATGATCTCTAAAAGGGATTGTCGTCGCTAACCTTGCGGTCTTTGAGCGACTCTCAAGCTAGTCATGAAAGGCTCCCGATGAAATAGTTCCTGAGAAGAAAAGCCTGGATGTCTAGCCCCATAAGTGGAATACGAAGAGAAATCGCGTGCAGTGTGTGCTTGAGCAAATTCTGCCGGTGGGCTGTACTGTCCGAACGAAGAATCAGCTCTCTATGCTCAAACTATTACGTAGGTTCTTGCTCCCAACATTGTGATTGGTGATTACCTAGCTAGGAAGCCAAGTCGTTGTGACTGGTACTGCATGGCATGTATTCTGCTCAAAACACCCCTGGGCATAATGGCTGTGTCCCATATTCTGCGCTGTCAGGAGTGAAAGCGCCACGTCGTCTCGCTTTCGGGTTAAGGTTGAAGCTAGCGTTGATGATCAGCATCGGCTAGGAGGCTCCGCGGTAGCGTAATGACGTTGCCAGTTAAAACCTTTCCCTTTCCGCAGTCAGGCACACCAAAAACAGAGCGACTAACGCCATGCAGCCAGAACGCGGGTTTCCAGCTTTCGCATCATCTTTTAGGCAAATTCGATCTGAATGCGGGACGCAGTGCCGTCGATCTCAATCAGCCGGATCGACGCATGAATCTACCCGACTCGTTCCATAGGCATATGCAGTATCGACAACATGCCGATTTCCAGACCTAATCCTAGTCAACATCATAGCGCAATCGGCGAATTCACTGAATTCTATCTACAACATGATGACATAGGTGTCGCTAGAACAATCAGAAATACTGTGCAAACTTGGCACGCTGCAATGAAGTCAGCCGATGTCGACGAGCCTTAGATCAGCCCCTGTTCATCATCCGCGTTCGGCGAGGACTAGCACAAATTCTCCGTCCTACATCAAAGCCGACGCTATGATTCCACCTGCCGATGCTGCAAGCTACTGCATAGTGCACCAAGATATGCTGCGTCAGTCAGACGAAATTGTCCGATATCGTTACCCAGACATTTTCCCATTCGTAGGAGACAGTCTCGTCGTAGACACTTACTTTTCAGTCATATACTATGAAAATGTCTGGATTTGTAGTTATACTCCATACGGTTCTCATGAACTTTCTCAGCAGCTCATCTCACCATGGTCCTCTTCTGGTCACAGCAGAACTCATTTACCTTTGTGGCTTGACCAGACCGCCTGAATACTAGCCGTATTTACCGATCGAAAAACCTCCTTTCTCATCGCGATTCTTCACCTTAGCTCCGGGGTTTTGGTGTTGGATCTAAGCGAGTTGCTGGCCCACGGTGTGGGTACATGTGGATCATTCAGGCTATGCCGAATACCAGAATGCGATGAGCCTGACTCGCATTTACTCACTTGGCTGAGAAAGCCACCAGGCTATGATGGAGCAGAGTAATTAGATGAAGTATGATTGGATCGCCGTGTCCTCCCGCACCTATCTGTGGATCTGTACAGACATCTCGTTTTGACTAGGTTTTCCCCAGTTCTAGTTGCTGATCATGATGACAACCGTCTAAAACGGTAGCGTAACTCAATTCCTCGGCGACTGTCTATGAAGATCATGCTCGAATTGGAAAACCTCAACAGACACTACCCGTGTTGAGCCTACCAAGCTGATGGGTACACTTTGGAGTAGCTGTGCGAACGGAAAGTGTATAAATCCACCTCACCGTGCAGACAACTCTAGCTCTTCAGCCAGGATCATCTTTGGTTTCTTCTCCTTCCCTCTCTTCAGATACACGAATCTGTGTTGCCAGAATCATGAGGTTCACTCAAGCAATCACTCTGGCATTGCCAGCCATCACTGCCGCCTACCCTGGCATGATGGGTGCTAGCTCCCGCGCAGAGATGGAGCAGTACCTTCGCGCGGAGATGCAACGCGAACAACTTGCAAACCGTGCCGCTGAAGCTCAGCTAGGTGGCCTTCTCAGCCCAGTCGGCAACCTCTTGGAGTCGCTTGGCGATATTGTCGACGGACTCCTGTCCTCAGTTGGCCAAGCTATTGTCAAGCAAGATAACAAGCGCCCTGAGCCTGGCTACGAGTTCAAAGCCCCCGGCCCCAACGACTCCCGTGGTCCTTGCCCAGGTCTCAACTTGCTCGCCAACTACGGATACCTCCCACGCGATGGTTATGTCAATTACGGGCAGGTTCTCGAAGCCACTGCGCGTGGTTTCAACATGGGTACAGACCTTGCAACGGTCCTAGCCACCTTCGCTGTCTTGGGAAGTGGAGATCTCGATGGACTGTCTTTCTATCTTGGCTCAGGCAAAAACGGAATCGGTGGTCTCAACCGCCACTCGGTTGTGGAGGCTGATGTCTCGCCCAACCGCGAAGGTATGCGATTGCAACATCAAAAAGGCAGACAGCAATCACTAACGTTGTAATAGATTATTACCTTGGATGCGGTGATAACCATCACCTCTCTTCCCGTCTCGTGAAGCAGATGGTCGGGTATGCTGCCCAGGACCCCAAGAAGGAGTTCTCTATGGACGTCTTGGCCAAACACTACGCAAAATCGGCTGGTTTCACCAAGGATAACAACCCTTTCATCTACTACTTTCCGTTCCCTCAGATTGTCTCTCTGGGTGCCTTCGCCTTCTACCCACAGTTCTTCTCCAACGGCACCTACGGTGCAGGCGGTGTGCCCAACTATAAGAGCATTATGAGCATCATTGGCGCAGAGTATGATGCGAATGCCAAGGAGTTCAAGTACGTCCCTGAGCGCTGGCCCGAGAACTGGTACCGTCGTGATACTCCTTACGGCGCGGTACAGGCCATCGCCGACGGTTTCCTTCAGATCTATCCCCGTAACATCATCGTTCCTGGTGCCGCACAGGTCGGTACAGGTAAATTGTCCGTCCAGACCCTACTCTGCGACGTATACCAGGGTATCAACTCTATTACTCCACTTGTACTCGGCGGTACTGAGGAGAACATCTCCAAGGGCGTCTCATGGGCTCTTTCCGTTCTTGATCCGATCCTTAGTAAAACAGCGCTGGGCTGCCCTGACAGCGTCATCTCGCCCAACTTCCTCTACCCCAACTCTCAGCAAGAAGGTGGGCCGGCCAATCCCCCGAAGGTTCCATCCGATGAATGGACTGGCGACAACGTGTACAACAAGGTGTACTTCGGCGGAAGCTCGCCTCCTACCAATCCCAAGTGCAGCCACTCCAGCTAGAGTTCCGTTGGTTCAATTGAGAAATCTTTGTAATACTTAGCGATATACCACTTCTTCTACTCTCGTTCTATGTACAAGGATACATATACATGTTAATGAAAATGATTATCAACGACATCATTGTAGCATCAGATTATGTACTATGACTGGATTGCATTTCTGGCTCCCTTGTCATCGAAATATCCTTCCAGGAGCGCTATTTATGGTATTGCACGAAAGTTGATGAATTATCTTTCCACAAGTGCATTGCAGGGTTTATATCGCTCGTAGCTTCAACGCCTAGTGGTTTTCCAGCAGATGCGTACATAGGACTCTTACAGAGCGTTGACAAAGAACGCACATATACCAAATCATGACTAGATGTGGAAAACCATGGCGTCGCGAAACGAAACCTTGAAACAGACACAATCTGTGACGTGGCACTGTTCCGTCGTTACGACCATCGCCCATCCTTCTCAGCGACGGATCCGATGTCAAGTATGATATGTACCACCCCGGACTTGTGTTCTACAAAGGTCTGTTCTCAACTGATCTCCGTTTGACCTTGCAAATCACGTTGCTCTGAAGCAAGAACGTCGCATTATGCGTCTTCCACGGCCCATCGTGTGCCATCTCTACAGTAAAATGACGAAGTATGTGTGGTACCAACTTATACATCTCAGCATTTGAGAGCTGGAACACAATCAGTCGATGCGATACTGCATTGAAATATGGTTTGCGACACTCACATGCCTGCCGATACAGGTTCTGGTGCCTGCGCTAAATACAAGCATCGCTTTTCCCATGAGCCTAAATCGCTCCTCGCCCTCAAGCCATCGTTCTGGACGGAACTCTCGCGCGTCTTTGCCGAAGACAGTTTTATCAAACTGCGTGACCATTGCATTCATACCGACCTTGGCATACATTAGCAATCTTGTGGTACAAGAAGTACAAGCGATCACGGACCTTGAAGGTAGCAGGAATATGATGACCTAAGAGCTGCAAGCCACCGACTGGTACGTAACGTGCCATAGGCACAGCAAAAGGTGGACACAGCCTTAGTGACTCCTGTATCACAGCTCTGAGGTATGGCATCTTAGTGGCCTGGTTGTATTGCACAGGATGGGTTATTGTGCCGTCTAGGTAAGCAGTGTCAATCTGTTGGACCAGTTTTGCTAATTTATCAGGGTGCTTCATGAGGAAGTAGAAGATCGCACGAAGCGCACCGGAGGTACTGTCCGAACCAGCGATACTGTTGTGTGTGAGCGGAGATTGATAGACCGTTCTGCACTCCCTTACACAGCAGCCCACATCTCCACATGGATCTTTTTAATGGTGAGGCAGTCGTTCTTCTCTCGCATGATAGACAGTAATTGAGAGAGAACGTCAGTGCGGTTTGCGTTCGCATTCGATGTTCGTTCTTGCGCAACACCTGTCTCTCGGACAGCAGTTTGTCGGACGCCGTCTGTTGCAATAATCGCTTTGAGAACCTTTGGGATCATAACGCCTACCTGGAGTAGATATCTGCGAATCCACAAGGGCGCCATAGCGACGACAGAGTTTAGTGGCAAGGCGGTGTGTACCGCGGCGATGTAGTTACCGTAGTCAGAACTAGTTTCTAGAAAGCCAAAGGGTGAGCCGAAGAATACAGCACCTACAACGTCGAACGAGAACCTATACATGTTAGCACGACTTTGTACACCATGAGCCCAATAGTTTTCGGGCTCACATTTCCAACCATAGCCCAAAGTCAAATGCATCTTGACAATCCGCAAAGCCGCCAAGCTTGTCCCCAAACAGCTTCACCAAGTCGTCCAAAGCGCGCTCATTTTTCAACATGCTGCTTAGCGTATATACTGGACCCACGATTCGCCGGTGAGCTGCGTGGTGCTTCTCATCATCATCGGTAAATAGATCTGGACCAGGACCAAGAGTAACCGGTCTATATGTCAGGTACCAGTCCGTTTTCTTGAGAGGTTGCTGGGTAGGGTAGATGATGGGAATGGCCTTTGGGTCGCTCACATGAACTTCGTCTGGAGCTGTACGCACTATCGAGCCGTATTCTATACACCAGAAAACTATTAGCATATCTCGGATGATCAGGTCGTTCTACTACTTTCAAGCAAGCCTCCTTCGCAGAGCGACGCAGTCTCCACGACAATGGAAATACCCACTGAAAGCTAGTCAGCGCTACTTCAGTGCTCACAACAACACAATACGAACCTATTGTGTATTGCGCGCATATGTGTCTCCAAGTCGCCTTGGTACATCCGGTATATAAGCCATGTCCGCGATACTGCTGGCCAGACAGGTCCAGGGACTTTTGCAAGTGGATGCAGTGTGCGCGAATAGATCACCCAACTAACATAGTAGCCAACAATGACGCAAACGACGGTAATTGCATTCCAAACGCTGAGGATCAAGAAAAGGACCATGTTTGGGGATGTTGAGTCGTGCTGCGACAAGCAGCTGCGGTTTGAGCTTGGAAGAGTGCCGGTTGAATTCGAAAGAGAAGGAGTGGCACACTGCTCGCACCCCCTCGTCCTGGGCAGTTCGGTTCGGTGCCTGTATATGTGTATGCAAGCCTTTCGACGCGATGGATGCGCTAATGCAACTATTCTACAGATGCCGAACATTGTAAGATAGCATTCGGTACTTTGAGGTGCGGCTCGGTGGTGATTGTCCGCACACCGTCATATACAAAATCCACCCCTCGATAAGATGTGCAGAAGGTGCAGGGGTGGTGGGATCAGTCTGGAAGGGAAGTCATAATACACTTCGGATGACAGTAATGAGAACCAGGTTCGTAGAACGCCGACTTATCTTATTCGGCCAGCATGTACGTTCCAGCTTAAGACTCGTCCAAGCCAATCCGGTCAGCTTGTAGTGCAACACGAACCAGCTAAGCTAGAAATCAAGCTAATGAAGCCGCTTCTTCCTCTCGCATTAATCTTAGTGTTTGATGTGTGGCACAGTCTTTTAAAGTTTTGTCGCGTAACCACTATGTATCTTTCTACACTTTCTCTTGTAATACCCACTACCATCGCCGCAACGCAGGTGACTATGACTCCGCCACCAGCTTGCACTATTCTGGCATTGTTTGGAACAAGATATGAACACTGCCTTGGCTTACATGCAACAGTCAATCTGTTGACCATACCATAGCCACACCACTAACTCCTCTGATGGCATCTGCAAACGCAAATGTACTATTATAACTTCCGAGTTGCTAGTAGCGATAAATCTTTTGAACTGGATAGGCAGAGGTCCGTCTTTATCCACGGTGGCTTCGACAAACTGTAGTTGTTGAACTGTACGTGTGGGATATCGGATTCTTGTTTTGTGGTTCTGTCTGAGTAATGAAGACAGCTGGCTAAAGTTGTTACGGGCGACTAGAGCAATTTTGGGCAGCTCTAGTGGTCCGGTATCATGATAAGCCACCAAGGTAGTCGAAGATCCCTTGGGATCAATGCAAGTAGAGTGGTGGCTGAGCCCCTAATCCGCAGCTAGTCAACACTACTTCGTCTTTTGTGAATTGAGATCAGGTCGCTCTTGCTTCACCCGAAGCTCGCATACCCCTCCGTCATATGCGCGTTGCCATTTGGGCCTTCGGGCCCCATCCCTGCAACGATCCCCCTCATCCGCACTAGCAATTCAGCAACCCTGAAGGGTTTACCAACAACATCGTCCATGCCTGTAGCCATGGCCTGCTCGATCTGTTGTTGGCGTACATTCGCTGTGACCCCGATGATAGGTACCCTCTCCCTCAACAAACCTTGTTCCTCAAGTTTTCGTATCTCCGCAACAGCCGTCAGCCCGTTCATGATAGGCATCTCCCAATCCATGAGGATAAGGTTCAGTTCGACAGGTAAGGCATCGTTGTGACCACTAGGTATAGGCTCTGTGGATGGGATGTGGTATATTTCCTTTGGTGCAATCGAATCCGACATGGGGTGATCGTTGTTCCAAAGTGTGGTCTTTGGCAGGAAGTCAAGGGCTTCCTGACCATGGTTGGCGACGCTGACAATGCATCCTAGATTGCGCAGTTGTTTGGCGAGAACACGCTGATTGATAAGATTGTCTTCTACTACAAGAACGTGTAGCGTATCTGGTATACTTTTTGTGCGCTTCAATTCTCGTAGGTCAGGACCTTCTGGTAGCCCAAGAGCTTCGGGGCGAACATGAGAGTGTTCAGTCTGCGACGATCTTGACTGTATCGATCGGCGTCGTGCTTTCGGGCTCGCAGAGTCAGATCGTGGACCAGTCTCGCTTGTGGGTTTGCACACAGGAGGAGACGGACGTGCCAGGCTTACGAGAGGTATTGGCTGTCTGTGTTTGATATCTTCAGGGAAAACATGGGGTAAACTGCCTTTCCGCGCCATCACTGGTCTGGCTCGACGTGATTTGATGTAGAAGGAGAACGTGCTACCTCTTCCAGATTCGCTGGCGACACCGATCGAACCGCCCTGCAGTTCGGTCAGACGGCGCGATATGAATAGCCCAAGGCCCGATCCACCGTAGTGGATGTGCGTGCGAGGTGAGGCTTGCGAGAAGCGAGTGAAGAGGCTGCGTTTTTCTTCATCAGAAAGACCGCGACCAGTATCAGTAACAGAGAATTGGAGATAAAATAGCTCTTGCACGTTTTTCCAGTCATCTTCCAAGTGAGAGTCCTGTCCTACCAGTCTCTCATCGTTGAACTGTATCCCTGCTGGCGACGAGGCGGGCTCGGTTGCACTTGCGGTGAGGGTGACCGTAACTCGCTTAGTTGATTCCAAGCGTGTGAATTTAATGGCGTTTGTGAGTAGGTTGATAAGGATCTGCAGCACCCTCGTTGGGTCCAGAGACGCCCAATCGATGTCCATGTCCCGGTACGATTTATCCACGACCAACACAAGGTCGATGCCGGCAGCTCTTGCTTCCGCAGAGAACATCTTTACTGCATGCTTCGCCACTACAGCGGTGGAGACGCTAGGTCAGTTTATGTTTGATATGCGTTCATGCATCCAAGACTTACCGCTTTCGGGCTGCGCAATCACCGGTGTCATGTCTAGAAGACCGGAATCGAGTTTAGAAATAGTGAGAATGTCATCGACGATATGCTTCATGTGGGTCGCGCAAACTCCTATAGTCTGAGCAGCGTCCAGGGTGGAGGCTATGAAAGCTGACCATTCAGTTGGTGTAATATTTTGTTCGCCATTGCGATCGTCTTGAGGATAAGATGATGTAATGGAATCCGCACACTGCATGATGGCGCTGAGAGGGTTTCGCATCTCATGACTCGTTGTGTCTAAAAAGTGCTCCAGGTGCTGTTTTCCTTGGAGCGCACTGTCGGTGCGAATCTTCTGGATACCTTCGGCCCACTTCTGCTCTAAATTGTTGTGTAAAATGTCAGTATATGTTTCTCCTCAATACCCATTCGCAAATTCCTTACTTGATATGTCTGTGACATTTCCAACGATCTCTACTAGCTCGCCATTCGGACTCAGTTCAGGGTAGGCTGAGCATAAAATCCATTTGAAGTGCTGAGTGTCTTCAGATTGTAGCTCGTTGGACTCTGATGGCGGCGCCCATGGCATCCTCGTACGTAGTTCGAAGCAAACAGATTCATGGTTGGTGACGAGCTTCGAGAATATAGATTGGCAGTAAGCCACATCCTCGGCGAAAGCGATCCGGTACCAGGCTTCGGTGGCGTTGGTGTCAGAAGATGCAACTTCAAACATATCGTACCAGCGTTGGTTTCGATAGGTATAGGTGCCTATTGGATCGATGATGAAGATGCCTACGTCAGATCGTTCAGCGAAGCGCTGAAACTTGCTTTCTTTGAGTTGAATCTCAGCCATGAGGTGTTCTTGAATCTGAGCAGCTTGGATGATAGCGTTTTCCCTTTGGCGGACTTCGTCCTCGAAAAGAACAATGGACGCAAGAGACGTGGCGAGCAATCGCACCATGACCTGGAGGTATTGCTGGTACTCGTCATCGAAGGGTCGGCGGGGGTTGACGCCAATTATGAGAAAACCTTCTACTTGATTCCCTGTCGTTGGAATGATAGGACATATGACCAATGTACGACAAGGGTCACCATACCCTCTCCAGTCAATGCCTTCCAATGCCGTTGTTGGTGCAGGAAGGTCATTGAGATGAACAACAGTAGCTTTCCCAGATTTGGCAGCCCGGCTCAGAAATGCGTGGAGAATGTACGAGTCCTGATTGATATTGACAGTCGCAGGGGCGATAGGGTGACCGACAGGCACGCCAATGGTACCCTTGAGGATGCAACCTTCCAGCGGGGGGATGCTGCCCGGTGATGACATTGAGGGTATTTGAGCACTAACATGTCGCTCAGCAGCATACAACAGGGCAAACGGTACATCCTTGTCATTCAAGCTCAGAGAGCGCAACGTAGTATCCCAAAACGATGGGAAATCTCTCGCATTTGCGCTTTGGGTACCCATGGCCACCAAACTTGAGACGCGGCGTTCGAGGATACGATGGTTGGAAACTTCGTAAAAGGTCTGGTAGTAGGCTGTCACTTGGCCATGGCTGTTCAATATAGGTACGAATTGGAAGGACCAGTGCGTCTCTTCGAGAAGGCTGTCCCTCTCTATGAAGAGGAGCATATCGGGTTCGGCTACGGATTCGCCAGTGGCTTTGATGTGGTCGACCATGGGTTGGAAAGAAGTCCAGTGATCGGGTGCCTTGATACAAACACTTTCGCCCATGCAGGGATGGAGACTGCCAAGCAGCTGAACATACGGCTCGTTGTATAGCATGATAAGTTCGTCACCCCAGAACATGACAGCAGGTACGTTGTTGCTCAATACTGTGTTGGCTATACAACGCAAATCACAGGGCCACGAAGTCATTGGTCCCAACGGCGTCTTGGCCCAGTCGACACTGCGGAAGTAATCGATGTGCGGGCTGGCTCTCACCACGCCCGTGACTACATCAGAAGTACAGTCAAAGGACGTGTTGTTGATTGCGGATGAGTCCGGAGAAGAGCTGGTGCTGGGCTCGGACATTTGGGGTGCGTGGGCGAGCGACAGCTGGGGTTTCATAGGTAGAGCGTCGGCGCGAGGTTTGCCTCGAGGCGCCTTCCGCTCGCGCATGATGGTGCGGTGGCTCTTTCCTCCCGGTGCGGCGTCAACCCACAGCAACCGCGTCGGCACTCCGCTAACGATCTTGTATCGCCCTAGGGTTATGGCGCTCCATGTATGGCCTTCGAATGTATACGCGTTGCCGCGCCGTTGTAGATCGTCCTCGTTCACATAGCCGCGAACCCAATCTCTGAAGGCAAGTTGCGGTGCCGAGCTTTGCGTGAACAAGCTCGTCGCATCGTTGCCCGATACCTTGGCCAGCAGTCCGCCGACGGCGTGCAGCGCCGTGTTCGCATATATGAGGTCGAGCGTTTCGTCGCGGCGCAGGTACGGACAGGTTTCGATTGCGAATGAAGGGCGCTCGTCGCGGTCGAGGGCGTCGAGGAGCGTTAGAGATGCCAAATCTCGCTCTGCCGTCTGCAGCTTGGGCCTGGACGCGGCCAGCGGTGGCTGCGAGACATAGCCGGTTGTCCCGTAGTAGTTGTGCAGCGCAAGTAGCTGTCCGTTCGAGGCCATGTCATGCGGCGCAGAGCAGAGCAGGCAAAGATAACAACAAGACACACGGCCAGCGCATTGAACAGATGCCCGAGTAGTATCTGTACAAACGAGGATTACTTTTGCTTCCCGCTGCTATCTGGAAAGCTAGCGCAGCCAATGGCTTAGACGCTGCATCTTTAGCCATGATGACTGAAAAGCGTCTCGGTCCGCTAGGTGGCGGCTCCACGCCCTCGCCGAGATCTACGACATGGCGTCATTGGGGATTAAAGTTGAACCTAAGTACTGCACCTCCAGCCTTTGTTCGGTGCGGTGTGCGTAGAATTCCATGGTGGTGTCACTGCAGTATCACGTCGCGTCTGAAGTTTGACGGGTGGCTGCCCTGCGGCGATCACACGCCTACCCTTGCTGCTTACTTGAAAAGGTCCGCGTTGGAGGCGCCAAGACGCCATCCAACATTACCGTGAAGGGTAAGCTGACCGGGCCGACTCCGCAATTTCCACGCCTGGCTATCACCACTCTCCACCTGGTAGCATCTCACTTTCACGGAACTGATGCAATTGACGGAAACACCGGTACCATCCGATGCTCTTCGTCAGAGATCAAAGTGGAATTACAACGCGTTGATGACGTCGTCAAAGACGATTGGGAAGAAGCAACAAGCAAACTGCTTCGGTTGGAAGACTTCTTGCTGGACAGTAAGTACAAAAGGCCTGTGATCACTCCGCAGAATCTTGAAGAGATCCTTTACGACAGAAGCGCTACAGGCATCGAAGATATATTGAGTGCTGTACTGCAATTCTTTGAATAAATGGCTATGGCAGCCGTCTAGAATTGGTTTGTGGCAGAGGCCAGAATGTGATGTCACTTCGTATATAGGGACGTGTAATTCAATCATGTTGAAATGCAAGTGATTTTACTTTCGTGTATATTGACAAATATATGTACAGTATTGGACTCAACCCCACGAACTAGCGCTTTCAGTGAGAGTTACAACATGCATCTCTTTTGGTGTCTCGCTTCCCTCATCCCTGTTCAAGCATGGCTGTCCGATTGGCAGAGTAACATGTCATCTAGAGGTTGATTTGTGTTGCCTAATTCTACATTCTGACCTTAATGTCAATACTTCCTCTTATGTCGAGATTTGTACGATCTATACAACCTGTGTAAATGCATGCTAATTTTGTAGGCTGACACATAGTCCTCAAGGATGGGAAGTGTACTAGTTGTCCTAGAGCTAGACAAGGACAAAATTTAAGTAAAAAGATGGGTGAAGCCTTGTCCGAGAATCGGACAAGGTATTAGTGTCCCAACAGAGCTATGGAACACAAGACGGCAAAAAAGAAATTGTTGTATACAACGTGTTGTGACCTAACCAGGGGTCGCTAGATGATAGTTAGTGTCTGTGTTCGAACGGGTTGCGCTTTCGAGTGTTACTTACAACCTGGAATCTCTTGATATCGAACGAATCGTAGTCAAGCGCCTTGCCATTGGGCCATTAGGCCGTTGTTTGATTGATGGTGACATGGTAGATAACATAATTTATATCCTCTATTTTAGCCACATTCTCGATGCAGAAAACAAAATCAGTTCTCACGTTGGCATGGGTAAAGACTGTGCAGCATGAAAGAGTTTGCGCTTGTGGTGGGGTTGTCGGAACACTTCGGCATGGTGGGGCACAACGCGGAAAGTGCTTGTTGGAAAAAAAGATCATAAAGAACCACCACAATGCATGATAATATACATTTTTCATTATTACTATTCAATTAAGAGCACGATATGTAGTCTTTAAGTTCAACTCCGCGAGGCTGCTCACGGGTGATAGACAACTAGGCCCTCGCTGCGGGCTGCGAGAGCGTGCTTCCACCATCAGGGTACATGACCTGCTCGTTGTAGAATACACCACCTGGTCCAGCCAGCATGAGAACCGTCGCAGCCATATCAGTATCAGCACCAGGTCGACCCGCAGGGTTGCTCATGCCAGATTCGATGCGGCTCTTGTTGTCCTCATCGGAAGAGCCTGTGGTCATCTGAATGTGGTGTTAGCTCAAACAATGTACTGGTAAGCTGTATGGAGTAAGGCTACATACCTCGCTTGGGAAGACACCAGGAGCGATAGTGTTCACCCGAACCTTGGTACCAACAAAGGTTGTTGCAAGCATGCGGCTCAGATGTGTGGCGGCTGCCTTGCTAGACGCGTAAGAAAACTGGCCGTTGCTGCTACCCTTCATGTACCCTGAGATACTGCTAACGTTGATGACCTGTGAGGTGTATCCAGGAGTCACCTGGCCACCCTTGGCCAAGAGAGGCAAGAAGGTCATTGACATCCAGAAGATGCTTCCGACGTTAGTCTTCATGGTGTCAGCCCAGTTCTCGGGCTGGGACTTGAGGAAATGGTCAGAGATGGCTTGGGCGTCCTCCATGTTTGGCTGGCCGTTTGCGGAAAACTTGGTGTTGTCATCACGAGCGATACCAGCGTTGTTGACCAGAATTTGGATTCCCTTTGGCTCTTTTTGACACATCTCGTCGTAAAGACGCTTGACATCATCCTTTTCGCTGGGTAGTGTTAGCGCCGCACTCTCCACAAATCGGACATGATTGTGCTTACCTGACATCTGCTTGGAGAGGAATAATCTGGCCTGGACCGCCACCTCCATACAGCTCCTCCGTCTTCTTCAAAACTTCATCGCGTCTTGATGTGATGTATACTTTCGCACCGTTTGCGACCAGCGCTTGTGTGATCATCAGACCGATACCAGTTCCTCCACCAGTAACGAGAGCGGTGACGTGGGAAACATCGAAGAGCTTGGAGCCCTTGAGGTCCTCGGTGTTGGCCTTGCCGTTACCCATATTTCTGATGATTTGGTACGTAGTCCTTGGGATGAATTGATTTGTTCGTATTGTGGACGTGATAGATTTGGTAGCTGTGGGAAGGTTTCTTGAGAAGAGTCTGAGCATGTTGAAATATGGTTGTAATGTCTGCTTCCTTTATGCGATTTAAAGGTGGATGAGCGATGTCACCGTTCGCATGCGAACATGATGACGTTGAGACGACGCATGAGTACTCCAAGATGGGGTCCAATGAATTAAGCACTGGCGCGACGGGTCGATGCATACTATGAGCGCATGCAATTATTGAAATCCTATATTCCCCATAATGGAAGCGCAAGCCACCAACAAATAGCATACCTTAGCATCGACTAATGCTTGTAGAACGGCAATCACGGCCAGGAGCGAGCTAAGGCCAGATGCAATGCCAGATGCCAGATGCAACGCCAGATACCAGATGCAACTAAATGTGCTGGACACTGTTGCTTGCCTCGGCTGTGTAAAGACGAAGTGCATATGCCCTACGATCAAAACTACCATTGATTTGGACGACTACAGGCGCTGTGAAGCTATCTTTGCTGCACCATATGCAAAGCCACATGGCTTCAGTTGTCCCTAGGCATGGCGACGAGACGCATCCAATGCAACAGAGTAGATACGATAAAAATTAATGTCCAGATCAACTCCATGTACAGGCAATGCCACATTGTAGATGTCTAAAGGCTGAACAAAATGTGATGGTGTCGAGGCTGCCACACATCTGCGGCTATGACGCAATCATCAGTCCGAATCATCTCCACGCCGTCGCTGGGCGCTCGGCCCATGGCCTTTGTGACCATGGCTTAGAAACCACGCGAACTGTTACAAACCACCATCTTAACCACTAGAACATCGTACGCGCATTATTAAATGGTTATACTCGGCACGCAATACGTGTATTTTGTCAGCATATGAGCGATCATTGGACGACAGGGATTTAGTAATACAGTCTTGGCCTCGGGAATAGAGCTATGGCATCATCGCCACAGAGATGTCGAATGAGGGGAAACATCGGCGGATGAAGGGCGACCTGACGCCTCAAACAGTAGGAATCATTTCTAATCGCGTAGGCGTATATAACAGCATCCAATCTGTACATGTTCCAGATTCATACTCAGACAGCTTACTGCACAGCCATTGATTCAGCAAACCACCATTTTCCTCCACGATTTTGCCTTTGCAACCTCTCGACAGTATAGTCTCTACTTCAATTGCGAACGAACCTAGCAATCCAGCTACCACAATGACGACCACCGCGCCCCTCCCCACGCCCGCACACCAACTCTCCAACCCAACGCCTACTTCGAACAACACCACCTCTTCCGACGTCAATTATCAAGGCCTACCCATTCCTCGCGGCCCCGTCACAGCATCGCTATCTTTTTACAAAGCCCCAGAGGATGGTGCGCCACCACACAACTACGTCGAGCCGCTTCCAGGCGTGCCACAACGGAATTGGGGAGATGCATGGACCGAGGTCGAGCTCAACGATCTACGAGGCCAAGAGCATAAGTTTACGCTAGACAACAACGCCTTCGACACATACCAGAATATTAAGAGCGGGCTCAACAGGGATGGGTTTGAAGACGACGACACAATAAAACGCGTGTATTACCCAGAGGTGGAGAATCTACTCTTGAAGAACGTACAAGGCGCACAAAGAGTGCTTCTCTTCGATCACACAATCCGCCGACCGACTGGCAACCGAAACCCCGTTCAACGCGTACATATCGACCAGACACCTTCCTCAGCCGCTGAACGAGTCAAGCTGCACTTGCCTGACGAAGCCGAGCAACTCCTACAAGGTCGTTACCGCATCATCAACGTTTGGCGTCCCCTCAACGGACCTGTCATGGGCAGCCCACTTGCAGTCGCCGATAGTCAAACAGTGCGCGATGGCGATCTGGTACCCATCGAGCATCGCTATCCCAATCGCAACGGCCAGACCGCAGCTGTAGCATATAACCCAGGGCAGAAGTGGTACTATTGGTCTGGCATGAAGAACGAGGACCGTCTGCTTCTCAAATGTTTTGACAGCGACGAGACCGTAGGCCAGTGGGGACGCGTACCACACACAGCTTTTACAGACCCTCGCACACCGGAGGGCGCGGTTGGCAGGGAGAGTATTGAGGTTAGGGCGCTGGTATTTGGATGAGCGCACTGTACTTTTCTTCCTTAGTCACGGTTTTTTTAGCCCTTCAGTTTTAGCCTTGCTCGTTAGACGTGTGTTTACGAATTTAATCTGTTTGTCTTGTTCAGCAGACGTTCAATGATAAACCTCTTCTGCGCAGATTGCATTGATGAAGTCATATGATTCACAATAGCTACTTAAAAGAACGTGATATGTGCTAAAGGTAAACAGCGAATATCGAGTCAAAGTGTGTTGAAACACCATGTGAGAATATCGCCATAGAGACTGTTGAAGTCGTTTATGACTCAGCGAAGTGTAGATCTTCAATAATCGTCTCCTCGGGAGATGACCTCCTTACAGTTGGGCCGGAGTAGCACAGTCTGTTGGACATACTGAGTCAGTTGGGACATATAACTTGGGAAGAAGCATAACTTACGTGTTCAAATTGTGCAATGAAGGAGCCAGGAACATCTACAAGCGGCGCATATGCTTCGACGATGCCACTGTTGACTAGCGTTCGCATGCCGAGATGATACTTTTCAACACCAGGCAAACGCTCAAGTTGACGGCGTGCGAAGACCAGAGTCCCAAAGTTCTGGTCAATGGTCTTCAGGAGCGACTTCGCAGATGTGTGGTGGAGCCCAGTGGCACTGACATGCTCGTTGCGTCCGTAGCCATAAACGCCAACATCGTCATGAAGATAGGCCTTGCCCGTGCTGCCGAAGGTTTCGATGGCGAAGATGTCGCCTTCCTCCATACATTGAGTGGTCTTGGTCTTGACGAAGGGAACTTGTTTGTCACCATGGATGTGATAACGTAGGATGTTGTGGCCAGTGATGTTGCGCACAGCCTTCACTGGAATGGTCTTCCCTTTGATTTCCACTTCATAACTCTCCATCACCTCTTGAATCATCTCACTGATGTGATCGATTCTCGCATCGATTCCGGCTTCTTTCAAGCCTGTGTTGGTAGCCGCCTTGACAGATGCCAATAGATTGTCATAAATTGGATTGGCTGCCACAGTGAAAGCGCTGTCCACGATTCTGCCATTGACATGAACACCAAAGTCGACTTTCAACACGTCGTCATGCTGAAGAAAGACTTCCTTGGCACCGGCGTTGGGCGTCCAATGCGCACCTACATTGTTTAAGCACAACCCGGTCGGGAAGGCAAGGCCGGCTTTCAGTGCATCTCCAGTCTCAAGACCCTCGTGGCCGACAAGTGCGCGAACACTATCGTCAATCTCTTCGGCAAGGCGAGTCATAGACATGCCGGGCTTCGCGATCGTCTGTGCATAGTGGCGGACCTGGCGGTGGACCTCGGCAGCTTTTCGATAGTCCTTTAGGAAGTCATTGTCCATGTTATCCACGGCGGCTAAATGACGAAGTTCGCCAACTGTAGTGCGCTTCAGGTTGTCATCTCTGATGATATACTCAACGATCTGCCCTTCCGGATACTGTCGACCAAGGAACAAATCAGTGAGGGGTACCCTGGGAGGTGCCGTCTGCTGTTTTTGTGACACTTTCTTGGTCTTCTTCTTGTTGTTGCGCTTTCTTTTCTTCTTTGCGCCTTGAGCAGTTAGTCTTAGCATGACACTCGCTTGGCATCAGCTCACCATCGTTGTTCTTTACGTCAGCTCCAAGCTTCGCGATATCGTCATCGTTGTCGTCGCTGTCTTCATCTTGACCTTCGAGAACGCCCTTAAGCAGTCCAGTCGCCGCAGCTGATTTAGGTGGATTGATAATAGCGATTGCAGCGTCTGCTGAGGACCCTGAAGAGTGTCAGCATGTCTGTCGTTCCTTCATCCTATTCGAGTTTACTGACCATTAGGACCTTGACGATGATCTTCTGGAGATTTGGACCCCATGACTCTTTCAAAGCGATGGTCATCAAGTTTTCAAAGCGCTGTTGGTGTCGGTGTTGGTGATCAGTGGTGCGACGGGAAGCTGAAGGCTGGATGCCTTGGTGAAAGTGGGGTCCAACAACACTATACCCTTCTGGTCACTGCCCCACGGTGCTCCGTTGCGCACGACCAGCATGCATTCAGCGCTCAAGATCGCCCAATCTGGATGGCTACCGCTCCATGACAAACAAAACATCTCTGGGTTGGTCCACAGTCAACGTGTTCAACTTCCTTGATCTTCAGGCTGTCAGGCACTCATCTTTGCTGGTTGCTGGCCATACCTACATACCTTTAGGCCTGTATTCTACTTTGACGAACTACATCACCGAGCAGGACAATCGCAAAATCCTTCACTTGCCTGTTTAATGGTAACAAGCGAATTTCGATACTCGTAAAATGTTAGGGATTGAACACCCAGTTCTGGTTGAAATTCAAAGATACCCTAACCTCAAAACCACAATGTGCTACAACGCATCTGAAACGATATCAGCCGCCCCAGGTTGGACAACCATTTCCCAAACAGTCAATTCCTTCGGCTTTGCCTGTTAATCGCTCGATTTTGACTGTGTCTCCAGCTCTAGTCAAGGAATATCTAGGGTGACTTTTTCTGTGTCGGTCCGTGAGGGGATTTCTCGCGTACCTACAACACAAGGACTTGATTCAGGAAAGGTTGACTAGAAACGGTAGTTGCACCTACCGATGACTTTGCTCGCTCTGGGCTCGTTATGACGATCCAAGACTTCGATGGGATTCCACTTGTAGCAACTTGACTTGGTTGGTCCCCTTCCGACAAAAAGGGTGCAGATACACTGCCACATTGTGCGATTGTCAGGTCGGTGAGCATGGACAACGGTAGAATATGCTCGCGAGAAATTTTGAAAGGACATGCTCAAAGACACACACCTGGAGTATTGATCTTTATACCCAGCATGAGTCACGACTGATGACCAGATGTGAGTCGCACTGGAGTACTTCTAGCGACTGTACAAACGGTTGCACAAGCACAGTTGAAAGATTGGTATCAGCGGCATAGGCGATAAGTAGACCAACAAGTCAATGTACTACAACGTTCCATCACCGGCCTCAGCGTATGTCGATCCATCCGTCGAGTTGTTCGGCTGTTTACACAGAGCCGCAGGTTCCCTCAAAGACCCGTACCCTGCCAGCTTACATGTTACACATAATATGGGGAGACGAGTTTTGCACCGTGTCTGCCTTCATAAGAAGTAATAGCTGATGAAAGTGCCAGATACCGGACATCTACGTTGGTGACCTCGATCGCTTATCGCTGTAAGACGGATGGTAGAGTGGCTATCGTGGTTGAAAAACATAACGTGTGCTTTGCAGCCGTTGGTATGGACCCTGCGAATATAGACGACGGATGTGAGGTGGTCATGTCGAACATCCCGGCCGACAAGCCTGAAAGGCAGGTGAGTAGAGCGGAGTTGCCGAGGATGACTGTTCATGTGTCGCCAAGACGTTGTTGTGCACTTGTCATACGAGAACGCCACCAAAAAGACCTCTCATTTCTCGCAACCACCACACTCAATCACCACACAACCATCACCAACCTGGTCATATTGTCAGGTCAAGATGCGCCCAGCTCGTGTTCTGTGCATGGCCTGCAGCAAGTCTACAGTAACGTCATTCGTATATGGCATGGCTACACTGCTCAGTCATGGTCAGAGTCACCTTTTCAATAAAGGCAAGGGCAGTGCAGCCCTTTATCCTTCTCAGGCGCCCCATTCACCCCTGGCGGCGACTAGTCTGCCACGAGCCGCATGGACCCAAAGATAGACGGCTCAATGCCGCTAAACGTCTAGACTTTTCGCGGGATTGGCTGACTCGCATCGCGTCAATAACATGATTGGTCGAGAGAGTCGGACCCTGGAAGAGGCGCAAGGCTGCATCGATCGCTTAAGGGGAAACGAAATGTAACTCTGCACAGTTTGCACGACCGGTGAGCTAGCCGTGTCGTTGTTCGGCTTGACGGCGCGGTGCTTGATGGTGTTTAAGATGAGAGCGTTGTCCTGATGTTTGGAGATAGCCCTACAAACTTTGCTAATCTCTAATATTCGCGTTTCGCGACCCACGATCGTTTACCTTCGCAGCACGTAGCATCATGGCTGCCCGATTCGTCTTTATGGCGGTCGCTAATGCCGCTATTGCACGGGCACAGTTATTCTCTGATGACTTTTACACTACTACCACTCGTTCCGCTTCAGCATACTGGACATACACTTCTCGTTTCGTGGAATCCGTGTCTGAGAGTTTGTATACAAACTATGACGACAGTGTGACCACTGATAGCTATACCGTAACCCGCACCGTGAAGGACGAGGCCACCCCCACGATCTCACCATACTCGACCACTTCCGAATATGGCTACTACAACGATGATCTCCAGATCGTGTACGCTTACTACACTACCAGTGCAGTGGCAGAGTCCGATCTCGAGCCTGATTATTATGATTACTATGCGACTACAACGGCGGCTTCGACGACAACTACAATCACGAGCATTGATTTCAGCATGCCGGTCACCATGGTGGCACCCGCCTCGTGCCCTACACCATGTAAGTAAAACATTCCCTGTCCAAGTCTTCGAAATACTGATTCTGAGTGCCTCCCTAGTCACCGTAACTACTTCCGCCTCTGTGGATATTCCGACCCAGGTAGCCGCACAAATCTCGCCAACTTCGGTTGAGACGTACTCAAGCAGCACTACCTACGACAATACCGTCTACGTTTGGGAGACATGGTATCTATCTGAGAGCGCCGCGCCATTTACCACAACATCGGACTACTACTACTCATACTACATTGCGGATTGCAGCACGCCTCCAGCAGCTTATCGCACTGGTTCCTCTTCCGGCGGTGCAAGTGGTGGCAGCTTGAACAACGACGATGATGATAGCTCATACGATTCGTGCTATTATTACTACTGCACCTCTCGCCTTCGCGTATATATCATCATCATTGCAACTGTAATTCCCGGTCTCTTCCTTCTTGGATTCCTCGAATCTTGGTTCTGGTTCCGCCGCCTCATGCTCGGCAAGAGTGCCATGCGATTTGGTACATGCTGCTGGGTACTCATCTCACTCTGGGTGCTCTGCTTCAC